TATATATATAGATAGAGAGATCTATATATATGTAAACCCCAAAGTAAAAGGAGTCTTTTTTGGACGTCATTCTTCTATGTTCCCAGTTTCAAACTGCACAGCTGGAAATGATTATAACTCAGTTAAATTGACATTAAGACCCCATTCACACTGAGCGACATGCAAATCGCGCGACTTTGAGCGACGTGTCGCGCGACATCTTCCTATTGGGATGTATGCAATCAGGAGCAATATCGCTCAAAATCGCTCTAAAAAAGGGTCATGTAGAAGCGACAAGCTACCAGCGACGAGCTACATGCGATATTGAGCGACGAGATGTGAACAGCTACATTGAAATGTATTGGTGAAGCTACATAGAGCGATATAGTGCGGAAATATGAGCGATATCGCTGCAAAAATCGCGCGATAAATCGCTCAATGTGAACGGGGCCTAAGGTGATTAACATTTTGTACGATCTGCCCATCTTGGACAGGCAGATCATACTTGCGATCATTGCAAGCCCTCCCCGCTGAAGGGAGGGCTTCCCATGATTGCAGTGCAGAGCGGGCAGTGTGCGCTTGCGCACACTGGCCCGTGCGGCATTCGTCTTCTGACCACGCCACCAACCCGCCAAATATCGTACGATTTTCTGTGTGTTTTCAAGCGTGCTCGTAAGAGGAAAGTCGTATGACCTTACAGTAGAAGCGGTCGCACGCTGCCCATACACCTGACGATTATCTTACTATAATTGGCAGGTGTATGGGCGCCTTAAGGAAAAACACCACCTTCAGAACATTATAATTAGCCAATATGAAATCAGGGCTTTAGATCCAGGTAAGCTCTATGTCCGTGCTATAAGTAATTTAGGAACCATAACAGATCTTTGGAATATACAAATCGCATAGGAAATCAAAGAGTAATTTAAGCCAAAATAAACATGTCTGAAGTAGATGGATATCAGTATGTTGGCCAAGCAATAGTTCTACACACTCTTTATTTGATGTACCATTCATTCTAGTGAAGACATCATCACTGTGGAGCAGAGCAAAGCCAGGAATACGACCTCTCCATGAGTGTCTAACACATACAATTATCCAGTGGATGACCCCCAACCTTACAGAACTAACAAAGAATTGGAGCTTGAGTTATTGAACTCTTTCAACAAAGCAGCCAGCAACAGACAGGTAAACATGTGAAAGCGTGCTTACAGCTCCAACATCCGCCTGGGTATGTGCATATGAAATAATTATAAGTATTATTTCATTTTTATATTTACCCTGATTAAAAAAAGTAGAAATACATTTTAAATAGTTTTAGTTTGCAACATAGTATCTAAACAAAATCTATAGAAACTATACATTCTCTCTAAAAGTGTATAAAAGAAAACATAAAATAAAAAAGTCCTCTTACTGTTATGATCCTCTGTATGATAGCAAAGCAATGCCAAGCAATTGGCCTGCAGCTCCACCTTGTGGTGAAATTTTGTATCACATAACACAGTCACGCGATACAAGTGTGCCCTTTGAGCAGGACCCATAGTCCTTTACAGGAGTTTGCTTGACATGGGGATGATGCCAAATTACTACACAAGGTGGTCACTAGAAGAAAGGTGACTTACATTCTGAAAATCACCTTTGAGGTTTAGTAAGCCAAAAAGGGCTAAGTTTACCGGACTGCCTCATTCCTGATCACAACAGCATTACACTTACTAAGTCAGAGGTTTCCAGAATCTGACTTGTGGTTAGATCTTCTTCTTCGGAAGATTCGTCTGAGTCATCCTGGTTCATTTTGTTCAGACTGTGTGTGCTTCCTGACAGCTGGCTTTCTTCCAAGAGCTGCATATCACACTTGTCCAGACTGTCCAGAGAACGCCTCCGAACTCCCCAGTTGAAATTATCCATGCTTTCTCCCTGCAATCACAAGCATTAGAAGCTGATGACCACACTGCACTCATACATTCACAGTATCCTATGCTACAAACAAAAAAGGCTTTCCCCAGTGAAAATGATTTACTTATCTGGAAGCTTGAAATAATCTCTGTAACCAGAATGGCACCAGTGTCCTCACTCAGACGCGTGTGAGTGTTTTTATCTGCATGTTCCCATTCTCTGAAAATGACTGCCATGCAGACCCACCCAGCGCCTAAGTGTTTAATTAGATGTCATACGAATAGTATGTTTCTCTGGCCAGGCTTCAAAGATCCCGTATTTTCACAAGATCAGCAAATGCAAGGGCTGCATGTTCCCACAGCTTACTGCCAGCCAACTGTACATTCGACATGAATCGAGGGAGATCGAGGGAGATCCATATTCTTTGCAGGCATCGTCTTCCAGCCAGGAGCCGTTGCAGAGTGCTATATAATCACAAACCCCACAGCAACCGGCCAGGCTGCACTTAGCGTGTGGCTTGGAGCCTAAAGCATTATTATAGAACCAGTCTTCCTGTACCTCATGCTCTAAACAATGTACTAATTACTTACTGCACTTAAAAGGAAGTGATTGTATGATTAAAGGAAAGCAGGAAACTAACTCCTTGTGTGCAAGGGTGCACTACACATCCATACACATAAATACTTATTCAAAATGTATTTAAAGCCCAAACGTTGTTTAAAATGTATTTTACTTTTTGATAGGGTAAGATGTTAAACCCCTGCCAGGTCTTTAGTTCTGTCTGTGTACCTGCTAGGAAGAGTCAACCTCTCTATATGTCATGGTGACTATGATCTTCAGTACAGAAAGTGACTGGAAATCCAGATTTGTGACTTGTTACAGGAACAGGTGAGGTGAAGGGGATACCTGTTCTCCTTGCAACTGTCTCAGGGCAGGTTCACACCATTTTCCGGGCCAGATCTGGTCCGGAAAATAGTGTGAACTGCACGCAGTTCTAGTGCATTCCAGACCAGACAAAATGAGACATGCAGTATTTTTCTGGTCTGGAACGGACTGCACTGGTGTGAACAGAGGCCACATATAGCATAGGGATACATTAGGATGCATTTTGAGTCTGGAAACAATCTGGTCTGGTCATGATCTGGATGTAGTGTGAATGGGCCCTAAAGCTATGTTCGCGCTATGTTCGCACCATGTTTGCACCAGATCTGGAGCAGATCTGCAAATGCAGTGCAGTGCAGTGCATTTAAACCGCAAGTTTACAGTGATTTTGCCACACTCCAGTGCTGTTTTTCCCCCCAGCTTAAAATGAGCTTTCGGGTGCAGTCCAGTGCATTTGCATGAGTTCATATGTGTTTTTGATGCGTTTCCATGCGTTCCAAATCAGAGAAAATGAGACAAGCAGTATTTTTTTGTCTGGACCGGAACGGACTGCACTGGTGTAAACAGAGCCCAGAAATACCATAGGGATACATTGGGATATTGGGTTGCTTTTTGGTCCGGGAACAAACTGTCCTGGTCTGGACATGATCCAGACATGGTGTGAGCAAGCCCTAAAGCTGGCCATATACTGCTTAGATTTTCGTGAAGAACTTTCGAACAAAAGAACTTTCTTTTGACTTAGTTGATGGTGTCAAATTATCGATTTCGACCACAGCGACGAAAAAACTGAAAGGAGCAGGATGGTAAATTTTTCTTGAATGAACAAATTCCAACAGTGAATGTGATTTTTGTTTGAGACGTTTCATTTATTCCAAAATCGAATGCTAGAATCAATTTAAATTTTGATCGACATTCGTCAAGCGTCTGATGGTACTATCTGGTGGTAAAGAAAGATCTTTCTTAGGAACGTTCATTCGGAAATCTAATAGTGCATGGCCAGCTTTAGAGGGGATATCCCTACACTTTGAAGAGATTTCCTTTTACGTTCTGTCTCTGGGACAGGATGTGAAGGGAAATCCCATCTGATGGTACTTAACAAAACAAAGCCTGACAGGGTCCTAACCATCCCCTACTCTATCTAAAACTATAAAAACATTTTGGCTCTACATACACTTTAATAAGGCAAAGTGCAAGCCCAGTAGCCCAAACCAACCAATTAGCAAACATTCCTCATTGTGACTGACAAAAGGTGAAATTCAATTGGTTGTTATAGGTTAAGGCACTTAGACAACAGTTTTGCTCTTTGTCTTCCTAAACTTCTTTACTCATTGATTTATTGAATGCTGTTTTTGGGAACAAAGAGGAGTCAGTGAAACCTTTTCAACCTACAAAACAGATAGACCCAAATCTGCAATTTTTATTATTTCTATGCACTTGGGCTACTGTACAAACCTACCAAACTCATTTGTCCTGCATACAAAATTTGGTTCAGTTTATGGGTTTGGTATACACAGACAGCTCTTTGAACTAATTCAATATAAAGTACTGACATACACCAATCCTCCAAATTTACTGATATATACAATACAGAACAAAGAAGTGGAACTGGATTACATGTCAGCAAGTATAAACAGCTATAATATACACGTATGACTAAAAGCACGCAAGGATCAAGAAATGCCTTGTGTTTAGTAAATGTTTAAGACCGGCATGTACAGGTCAATGGACCCCAAACCCATATTTCAGCACTGGATGGATCTAACTTAGCCAGAGCATACCTATGCCATTATAACAATTAGTATGTTCCTAACATATAGCTAGCCACCATTATCTTGTTCAGCTTTGGGCCAAACAAGATTGTTATGCTTCCCCCATAAATCCCTTATAGTTAAATGCAGATTTCAGCAGGTAGGCCAGACAGACCTAACTGGGCTATGGACTTCAGAAGATGGTCTGTGCTGTAACATATCAGTTTACAAAATGCTTAAAAGAGAACTATGGCCCAACCTTTTTTTGCCCATGGTTCTCTTTAGAGTCACAGGAGGTTATATACTAATGTCCTCCTGTGACCCAAAACTCAGCATATAGCAGGCTATCGCCCGTTATATACAGGAAGTGCAGAACCAGCTGCAGCCGGGACGGATCCCGACTACATTGTCTGGATCCACCCCACTACCTGAAAGACAGCCGGCTCTGCCTCTCTCTGTGCCCTTCCCCTCCCCAGTCTATTCCTCCAGTGAGCACTGGAGGAATAGAGAGGGGAGGGAGGAATCTCTGTGGGGAGAGGTGATTGATGCTCACCGCCCTCTGCAGGGAAAAGATCAGGAACTCTGCGATCAGCAGTAAGTGATCGCTCAGTACTCAATTAACAGAGCTGATGTGTGATAGCTTCAGTAAAACACCTCGGCTCTAATTATGGGAATTAGTGTATTCCATTCTCCCCATAATACTCCTTTAAACATTTTTTATGGGTGGACTTAACTTTAAAGAGCATCTCCAACTACATGCACTGGTTTGCAGATGGAGAAAAAGGAGGTGTGTTCTCTATGCATTCTTTACTTACCTGCTGCTGTTTCCCTATTAATATTTTACAGTGGCATATCTTACACTTACCTTTTGTTCCTACTCCTTATACTGGCCATGCACATGGGGATGTGATGGTACAAAAATGAACATTTAGACCTAAAATCATGCGTGGTTTACCTGACATACACATCCACTATTTCACCATATCAGGTAACCCCTCATTACTGCTTCATAGGGCTCCAGTTTATCTTAATTCATTCTGGAGATGACCCCCCAGACCTAACCTAGCCTTGTGAATCAGATCTCCGAGTTTATACATGTGCTATACAAGATCAATTGCCATATAGTGGCAAGTATAACCTGCCTTCCCATACGACACCCAATCACCAGAGCCCACTGTTATCTTGTAGGAGTCACCCACAAACACCAATCTGTCAGCTATGTCTTATGTTCATAGGTACCCTAAATTTCTCAAGATATAAGACATTTTCTATTGCGTCTTTCTTTGCATATGAAATCTAGTATGCAGCAGAATGCTCACTTAATTCTACTATTTTGTACAGTGCAATTTTTTTTAGATGACAGTGTATAGTAATTCATGAATAATAAAGCAGAGTTGTCCTTTAAGATAGCTAAAGCAGTCAGCTTTCACAGCAGCCAGTTAGATATCTACTTTCTAAATATATGTGAAACATGAAGTCCTCTCTATTTAGCAGCAAAACCCCCTTTAGTTGTTTGCCAAAACCACAGCAAAACTATTTTCATGCCGCCAACAATATATTTTAGGTGCACAAGTCATGCATGTAAGAAGCTCTGCTCCCTCTAATAGGGCCTTATATGGCTACCGAGTGATCTGTGAGAAATCTACCATGAAAATGGACAGACAGTGCCTGGAATGTAAAAAACACTTTCACTTTTAGAATAGCATCATCTTACCTGTAGCTCCTGGATAGCAGATATAACAAATAAGAACAAAACAAAAAAAAACAAAAAAAAAACGAAGAGAAAAACTTTTTTCAGTCTCTAGAGATTATATTCACCACAGTTATACACACATTTGCCAACAGTATAATACTATGAGAATGAGAACGCTGACAGAGGAAAACACTTAGAAATGGAATGTAAATGTTTAATGAAGAACTCTGGGTAAAAAAAAACCAAAAAAACCCCTCCGCACTGCAAAGGTTAGGTGGTCGTTTTCTCTAGGGGGGGTGTCAAATAAAGTGAATTACTCACCTGATCCTGGCTCACATCTCGGCTATGGAATGTCCCTTGGCGTCCTTACGTCTAATGTACGCCAATGGACTTGCATAAGACATGATGACGTCCAGGGGCACCCCTATGGCAATCGCCACGTGATGCAATTTCATTCTGGGGAGGGTGGAAGGGTGCTGACAGGTAATGTTCACTTGTTGTCTGGGGTGAGGGTTGGATTGGGTGGTGGATGCGGGACCACGCTGTCAGCAGCACTGTTTGGCATCCTGCCAAGCTCACTGGCTGCCAAGAGCTGGGTGGGATACAAGCCAGGGCGTCCTGCTCAGCTCTATAGGCAACCGGTAACATCCGTGAGCTGGGCGGGACTCCAGGCAGAGCGTCTCAGGTTGCTAAGAGCTCTTAGAAACCTGTCCGCCCCCCCCC